AAACAGATAAAAAAAGACATAAAATATTGTCAAAGGTAAAACATATAAAATACGTCTATTCAATAATCAATTAATTAAAGCAAAGATAAAGTGACATTTCGATTCAAATCAATTAAGTAGACCCTTAAGATGGATATGAAAAAAAATCGTTAACATACTCACCAACTATCCTGTCTCCTAGTTTCATCTCACAATAACATTTCCAAAACCAAGTATTAATAATAATAATAATGTTTATGTAAGTAAAAGGACGATTTTTTTCTATAATAAAATTCTTACAAGACCTTTTAAATATGCTGGGAATTTGCTTCTTTTATATCAGGAGGAAGACTATTGTATAGTTTGGGGCTAAGAAAAGAGTGGCTTCTTTGTCAAATTGAAGTTTTCATAGTTGGTACTGTAACAGGGAGAAAGTTCGAAAAAACCGTTAAAATAATTCGTGGAAAAACCAGAAATTAAGAGTTTCTTAGAAAAGTTTAGAAAGCTTTAACATGTGCGAAATAAGTAATTTTGAAAAGGATTTCAAATGTAACGTCAAAAACAAATGTATAGGGTCGTCTTTAAAGAAAATTCAAATAGAGGCCATAAAGCCATAAATCCATATTGCAGGCTATCTGTATTTTTCCAAAGCCGCCAAACATATGGCAACAACGTTCTTTAAACGAAGAATTCTAAGAAGTAAATGAAACGCGTCAAAAATATAATAAAATTAATATGATTAAAAAAAAGTAACGAATTGATTCAGTTGAAAACTAAACCTAGTAAAATAGAGATTATAGACTAGAAATAAGACGTAAGATTAGGTAGATTTTATTGTAAATAGGAAAGCGTGGCTGCTTATTAAAAGATAAGTCTCGATCAGCCAATGTAAATTAAGGCGGGCACTGACTTGCAACTGAACGTTGTAATGTAATGTAATGTAACACGAACATTCGATAGTCAGTGCCTATAAACGAGCGCGAAGCGAACGCGAATGGCGAGCGGCGAACGGAGCATCCGTGCTCCACTTGAGTGTCGGTTTTTTAGCGAATCCCTTTGATTGTTACATTACAAGTCAGTGTGCGCCATTTCGGAACTGACCAAATGGAGCACTGTTAGAGGCTCTTAGAGCCGTTTAGAGGCTCTTAGAGCCGTTTCACATGCGACTGATTAAGTCCTGACGATCAGACCTGATGGTCAGTCCTGATGACTACGGGCCATTGTTTAAATGAACTTTTTCACATGCACTGCGTATCATCGGTTGACTGATTCGTCTGCTCGAGCATCGGGACAGCCCGTGCTCACTGCGTACCGTCAGGACTATTAAGGGCTGTTAGTTATATGGAGTATTTCATATAGTACGTACAGTCAGCAAAAACAGTGTTGCACAATGAGTAGTTTACGCATTGATACTGAAATTTTAATAAGTAGCATCGAACAGCAAAGATGCATCTGGTATGCAGATGATGAGAACTACAAAAATAGGGATGCGAAGAACAAAGCATTTGAAGAAGTAGCGGAAATAGTAGTTCCGGATTTTGAAAATTTTGCGGAAGTAAAAAAGAACTTTTTTGCTTTGTATTAATCTCTTTACACAAAAAGCGGCAACAGCATAGTTCCGGAGGCGCTGAAAACCGTCCCCTAGTAATTTCCGTACTGTACGTTGCTTGTGAAACAATGGCCATGACCGTCAGTCCGTATCATCAGGACTGACCGTCAGGACTTTATCAGTCGCATGTGAAACGGCTCTGAGCAGAGCATTCAAAATGAGCATTCGCGGCGCCAAGAAAACGATCTGAGCTCGAGCGTTGTAATGTAATGCTCGCCTTGAGCATTACATTACAAAGCTTGGCTCAAGTGAGTGCCCGCCTTAAAGGCGTAGATGGGAAAAGCTCATAAGGATGGTTTGAACCAAAGAAATGCCCAATAAAATCAAACGCAGTTAATACGAATTAATAACCAGATATAAAAATAATGGGTTCAATCATTAGGCAACCCTTGTACTTTCAAAGCATCCGTAAGGGCTATCCTCAGTTATCAAATCTAGTAAATTATAGTTGAAGTTGGCGACAATGGCGGAAACTCCGCCCAATGCCTTGTAAAATTCCCACCTTGTTTGTTCCCGACCTTTCACATAGCCAAGATTCCGACTTAAGTCAAAGGTTAACGCCTCCTCCCTTAAGAATTATTGAACCGCTTAGATTAAAACCAATAACCTTTCGTCCTTTTCGGTTGGTATGAGAGTTTATGACCTTTTGAACCAGTCAATTTTCTATGACCCTTGCGGGGGGGAGTTACCATGATTTTGACCAATGGTCGTTAAGAATTAATCCCTTCCAATTTTTCCGTAAATTAGTCTATAAAAAACCAACACAACCTTTGACTCGCCAGTTCTTATCTAAATTTTATCGCGCTTTCCAAATCGTCTCAGATCCTCGCCAGTCCGTATCAGCCAACTTCATTTGATTCAGTGTAAGGTACTTATAGTAATTATTGTATTTCAAACCAACTTGTTTATATTAGATTCACTCCGAATAGTTTTGCTTAATTATAGTTACTTACTCTATAGAGCAAATCGCACCGCGCATTTGCTTAGTTAATTATTTGTTACATTTTCTTTTAGTTTACTTTTAGTTAAATTTCTTGATCTAGAGTTCTAATTTGTTTTGTAAACTAGTTCTTGTAAATTGAATCTCTGGAGAAACTTTAATTATCTATTTTTAATTTTAATGTAACTTAATTTTACTTGTTTATATCTTTTCATTTTTATTGTTAACTTTTTGTTTGTTAATATATTTATATGGTTTGAAATATCGCTTTATTGCTCTGTCTGTTGTATAAGAAATAGCCCTGAATCAAGTTAAGTCGAAAGTAAGTATATAGTGAACGGTAATCGTGTATGAAGTTTTCCGCGCGGTTCGCGAGTGAGTTAAGTGTGTCAATATACATATAGGATTACTTCGCCTTCGACTCGTCTCACCGACATCCTCCAGCCGAAGCCACGACGATCTTCACCGGATTAAAAGGTCAGATTAGATTAGTAATTTGTAACGGGTTCCACACACCCAAAGCTCCCGTACACTATAAAAAAAATTACATGCATCATAATAGGTAATTTATTGCCATGCACAAGCATGTAGTATTAAATTAACATTCAATTATGTAAATAAACAATTGGTTACTGTGAATTTACATTTAGTAATATCTTAGTTATGCATGTAAAATTTTCTTATTTATGCATGTAATAAATACGTACCTAGGAATGTAATTATTCCCTTGTTATGCATGTAAAAGTTCTTATTTATGCATGTATTAAATCCCTAGTCAGCCATGTAATAAATTCCTAGTTATGAATGTAAAATTACATGGGGGTTAATTAACTTTAGGATTTATTTTATAAATAAACAGGGTGAGTTTTTGGTTGGCCTTTTATTTTTAACAGCGTGTAGAAGTTAAAAAGACAAACAAATATTTGCATTGTTTTTATCGAAACTAAAAAATAAAAGATATATAGCCTTTGCCAGCCTAGCCTTGAGGCTAGTTTTGCCGAAAAACAATCATAATATGATTGTTATGTTATAAACAAAAATGACAAAATAGCAATGCAATCAAATGCTATCAAAAAAACATTGCATTGTTAATTTTGTCATTTTTGTTTTTATGAAGCGGCCTAAAAATTTAATTAAACTTTAAAAAGCTCTACCTCTTCTATTTTTGAGTTTTGATAAAAAAGTTAGATACCTACTAAAAGTATTTGTTTGTCAATTTAATTTTTACAAGCTTTTAAAAATAAAACGTCAACTTGTACCCATGTGCAGTTACTTACCTAAATGGGCAAAAATTAATGTTAAGTTTTGTAGATTTACTCAATATTATATATAGATATTTTAAGAAAATATTTCAAAAAATAATAGTATTAATTGTGATTAATTTCATTAATAATTATACTGTGCTAGTTGAAAAATCTAACAAAAATGGGACCTGGGTATTTAACATATTTGGGGTGTTCTGAATTCAGTGGTGAAATCCATTTTTTAAAGTTAGGTCATTTTTTCGAAATATTTTATGTTAAACATTTGACCTTAAGTGCTCCAATTCGCTTAAATGTTAATCTTTTATTAAACTAACGTTGGTGCAATTTAATCGTATATTCATATTTTACAAAAATAGAATAAAATATAGATGTCATATTTTATTTTTTTTAAATATAGTTTTGCTCAGTACCCCTAATTTTCGTATTATTTTGCCTAAATAACAATTTGAACATTAAAACTGTTTTAAATGTATTTAAATAAAATTTCAAATAAAAGAATATATTGTAAATACCTTTACTTTAAAAAAGAAAAAAAAGTAAGAAGGCAAAGATATAAAGAAATGAAAACGGTATAAACACTAATTTAGCAATAAAATAAATAAAGAATATACAAGGTTGGTAGCCGGAGTAAGCAAAGAACTAACATACCCACCCCCATTCACGAATACCAATTGAATGGGGATACTACTAAGGCCTAGGTTGAGGAGGATTCCGGATTGTACTTAGTTTTGGGTCAGTTCAATGTCCTCCAAAAACCCTTCCTAAACTGGACGTATGGCCCGACCCGGCTGACAAAAATTCCGGGAGCGGCCTTAACCTTTGACACTGTCATACACAACCTCCTAGGGTGGAACTACCAGCCGGCGTAAAAACTTCGGATCCAACAAACACAGGTAATGCTGTGATTTGGCGGGATACGCAGGAGAACGGAAAGGGGGTAAAATAACCCCGGGAGATTAGTGGATGACAATATATCTGGGGCCTGCCATACGTTCCCATACTCATACTCATACTCATACCTTTACTTTAAAAAAGAGGACTTTTTACATTCCGCTTGATGTTTATATTGTTTTTACTGCAGTATTAACAATATAACATCAAGCGGAATGTTTGTACTGTTATACTGTTTATGCGCGGTTCGGTGCTATATGCTCGTTATTTACCAATTTTTATCCGATTTTGAAATTTTTTGGTATAAAATATCACAATGAACAGTTGTAAAGCGTTCAATACTTTTTGTTATATTTACGGAAGGTATGTTATTATAACTAGTCTGCGCAAAATTAGTCCGGATGTCGCTGAAGTGTATCGTCAATACTTTGATCAAAGTGTTGTTTATAATGTAGACTGGGCCCCGTCAATAGTTTGTACTGGATGCTTATTAAAGTTAAATCAATGGGCAAAGGGAGAAATCGACTGTATGCCTTTTGGAGTTCCAATGATATGGATGAATTTCGATTTACATGATGCAAATCAATGTTACGCGTGTGTCAATTATGTTTTCGGAACAAATCGTAACAAAGCACGTAGTTTGCTATACAAACCAACAAAATTTGCTCCGTTACCGTTGCCGCATTCTGAACACATTCCGATTCCAAAAAGATTATGCCCAACAGAACAAGTATCCCTAACATGTGAAACGGTTGGAGAATCATCTGGATCAGTGTATGAACCATCCAATGTTACTGCAGGATGCAATCACATCGAAATTTCTCAAAACCGTCTGGATATTATGACACGCCGTCTCAAGTTGTCGCAAAGAGTCAATTCTTTTAGCCCCATAAACTCGAACCTCTGGTGCTAAAATATTAGCCTGTTTTAATTCTTTATAAAGAATTAAAACAGGCTAATATTTTAGCACCAGAGGTTCGAGTTTATGGGGCATACGGTCGACAAAGTAGTTTTACAACTTTTTTTCAAACAAGTGAGAATAATTCTTTTGCATTTTGCCATAATATCCGCGGCTTGATTTTAACATTACAAAATGAATATAAACCCGAAGATTGGGGATTGTTTATTGATTCCTCCAAAAGCAGTTTAAAGGCAGTTCTCCTCCATAACACTAATTTGAAAAATTCCATTCCAATATCACTCAGCACTAACACCAAAGATAACTATTTATCATTAAAGAAAATCATCGATGCAGTAAAATACAACGACCATAGATGGAAAATCTGTGCAGATTTAAAACTAATATCTCTTTTAAGAGGGATGCAAACAGGATATACAAAAAATATGTGTTTCATTTGTTTGTGGGATACCCGTTTTGCTGGCGATCAATACACCGAACGAAATTGGCCTCTCCGCGAAGAATTTCGATTGCGTCAACATAATATTGTTGAAACTCCCCTTGTACCGATCGAAAAAATCTTGCTTCCACCTTTGCATATAAAACTAGGAGTTGTAAAGAATTTTATAAAAGTTTTAAATCCGGAAGGAAATGCATTCAACGAATTGGGTAGAATATTTCCACGGTTAATCGGTATGAAGATAAAAGAAGGTTTGTGTTTAAATCAGTTCTAATCTATATGTTTATTCTATATATTGCTTTTATCGCAGGTATTCTAAACGGTCCTGATATTCGTCGTTTGATGAAGGACAAACAATTTGAAGATTTCCTCAGTGTTGAAGAGCGTGTGGCTTGGGCTTCCATTAAAGTGGTCATTGAGAATGTTCTGGGGATTCATCGATCCGAAGATTGGCGCGACCACATAGAAGAAATGCTTACTGCTTTCCACCGTATCAATGTTAGAATGTCCTTGAAAATACATTTTTTACATGCTCACATTGAAAAATTCGCTCAACAATCACCAGCGGAATCAGACGAGCACGGCGAGCGTTTTCACCAAGTGACGGCAAGGCTCGAACATTGGTACAGTGGAAAGCGACTGGACTCTCTTCTAGGGGACATTTGTTGGAACTTACAAATGGAAGACGATGTAGGATGTGAATGTTAAAAAAATATAATTAAATAAAAACTGTTTTAAGGTGGGAAAAAAATGTTATTTATTAAAAAAAATCGAAAAATCATAAAAAAAGTCTTATACAGTGTATATTTAAAAGAAAAATGGATATTAGGGTGTTTCATTTAAAACGAAAATTTTTTTTTTCTTGCTGACACATGAAAATTTTGGTTTTTAGGTTGAAAAAAAAATTCCCTGAAAAGTTGAGCCCTTAATTTTGATTCTAAGTACTTCCTTTTTAATTTTGTAGTTTTTCCATATAAAAAGCATGTATTTTTAATCATTTTTACTTTAAATTTCTATATTTTGGCCGGGTTTTGAATTATAATTTTTATCACTATAATTTTCTGCATAGTATTCACGGTTTTTGAAAGGACCTGCATCAATTTTGTTTTTGATTTATTTACGTTGATTGTAGTAGCTCCAAAAGTCGTTTTTTCACTCTTTTCACATATTTTTGAGAAAATCGTAGAATGACTGGTTTTACCGAAAAAGTTCAAATAAAAAAGTTGTAGAAAATTTAATTTTTGACAAAAAAGGTTTTCACGTTCATATCACTAAAATGCTTTGTTTAAGAGATATAAGCAATATATAGTTGTTAAATCAAATTACATAAATTTCAATACAACCTATTTTTTCTTTGTTTTTGATTATTGAATTGGAACGCCAAAGTAAATTTTAATCGTAAATAATTTACGATTAAAATTTACTTTGGCGTTCCATAGTTATTGATTAGGCTGATGTTTAAATATTTTGTTAACTTTTCTTTAGTCTGTTTAATTTTACTATACCTAGGTATGTAAAAATGCTTTAAGTATCAGTGAATCATTGCATTTTTGAAATTATTATTATTAGTTTAACTATAGTTATTTAGCATAAAACTTTTACCATAACATCTTTCTTATGGTAAAATTTAGTAAATTTAATTTACCAGGTAAATATTAATTATACCAGGTAATTATTAAACGTTTCTTATTTTTGATATAAAAATTTAAATTTTTGATAGAAATTAAAAACCGATTTCGATTAAAAATACTTTGGCGTTCCAAAAATAATACTTAAAAACACAAAGTTAGTTATAATCTTAGGTACCTACATTTTAATTTTCAACAATGGTGTTGCTAATTTTGGTTTATCAGGACAAATACTTTATCCTTTGATCGACATTTTTTTGATTTGGTTCCCGATAAAGGGTGAATTTTAAAATGAAATCTTTGTAAAAATTCCAATGAGTTACTTATGCCTTTAGGATATTGCAAGTTAAATATAAAGTATAAAATACAAAATACTAGAAAGGCTTCATCTAATGAATTACTTTTAAAAATTATCGTTCCTTCCATCCTGATATGATAAGCTGAGTCTGAAAATAAACAATAACTGTCATTCGTTTGAGTTAAATTTATTTTAATAAAATTAAAATACCTTTAAACTAATTAATTAATTAAATACATCTGATGGCGTTTATAGAATAAATTTAGTATCCTATCTTTTCTACATGCTACAAGAAGCCTTATTTTTATCATTTATCGGTTAGGTATATCAAAAACTACACATAACTTAAATTGAATTGCAAAATATAATAGTTTATAGTTATATATAAGTTATTACTTTAGTTCCATAGTAGGTTATTACTAAATTTTGCAATAAATTAAAATAGATAAAAATATTTGGTTGTTTTAATTTAAAAAAAAATATATTGTTATTTCTAAAATGACCGTTTCACCTGTACAGACGGCTTCAAAATTGCAATACCAATAATAAATATGTTAAACTTACCGCCTTCTATTATTTGTGGTGCCTTATCAACCAATGCTTTGCTATTATTTACTTCTATTTCCTAAAAAATAATAAATTTAATAAAATTTATCAAGGGTTTTTGTTAAATTTACCTTTTTGTACATCACAGAAAAATCTTCGTTAAAATACTTGCAAACAATTTGCAAAGAATATTTAAGGTCATTATCGCAATCCCTTTCTTCAAACATTTTCTTTTTTTCAGAAAATATTATAATTTTTTTACACCTCTCCAACATATTTTCTATAAATACATTGTCGAGGTTAATTGTGGTCAATTTTTGAAAATGCCAAAAAAGAGCATTTCTGTTAAAAAAAACCTGAAAATTTTTCTTCTACCTCTGTTACTGTAGGTACATTTTCAATATTGTTTAGTAAGTGCCTCTGCTCTGCATATGTAATTTTTAATGGGTCATCCTCCTTTGATAACTGAGGTTGCCAATTTGAACAGCCTGCCTTAGCACTGGTTACCTGTTTAATTTTTTTATTTGGTATTTTTGGGGCCTTAAATTCCAAACTTCTTTTATGTGGACGGTTTAAATATTGATTTCTATCAAATAATTTTAAAAATGTAGAGTGCCATCCGTCACCCAAAACCACCCCATCTATATCTACATCTTTAAAGGTGTTTGGATAGGTCTGCACTAATTTTTGTGCTATTATTTTAAAGGCTTTAGACTCAATGCTGTCGGACATTGTTCTCATTTCATCAATTATGGTCTGAATAACAACTACTTTAACGGTTTTCTCTTTTAATACATATGCGGGCATTTTACTCCAAGGTATTTTAAAGTTCTCCCATGTTTGGAAGGTGACAGCTTCTTTAGATGTATCCAATATATTTGTTATATTGGTTAAAATTGGTGCGTTGTTTAAATAGCCTTCATTAAATGTCGCAGTGTCTTCTAATTGATTAATTTGCAAAGTAGGTGAAATTACTATAGGCATATTTTCAATAAAATCTTCATTGTTATTTTCAAAATTACTTTGCAAAGTACACGGAAAGAAATGTTATGATAAAATAAATCAAATCCATTTATTAATTTAAGAAAAGTCAAAAATTATCCTAAATAAATTAGTTTAATCTAAAATAGAATAAATCAAGAAAAAAACTGACAAATCTTAGTGTTTTACGATAAATCTGTACATTTCGCAAATGATTAATATCATCATATTAAAATTAACGTCATTTAGTTTTATTTATATAATATTTGATAAAATTAATCCAAATTGGAATATAATAATAAAATCCAAGAGTTGATCTGAGTATCTTTCCTAAGAAAATTAAGCTTAACGTTACATAAAGCCAATCTTAATGTTAATGTTTCATAGGTTTAATAAAAAATTTTTTTGTGACCAATCTAAAATTTTATTGTTCCTAGAAAAATTTTTATTAAATGTAGCACTTAAACGATTATGTCTATCTAAACAATGTTATAGGTATCTATTTTACCGATGCTTTTTTGTTTTGTAATTTTTGTCAAAAAAATTACTTTTGTAGCCCTTAAAGCTGGATTTTTTAATATAATATAATATATATGTTACGGCTAATGTGCAAACTTGGATAGTTTATAAACTAGCTGGATAGTTTATAAACTAGCCAAACTGTCAGCTATTTTAATTGAAAACATATTTTCAACTAAATTTAGCTAATTTACTTGAAATTATTAGGGAAACTAAAATAGCTGGATAGTTTGTATACTATCCAATTTAGTTTGGCTAATATGAAAACCAAAATTCTAGTAACACAAAATAGCCAAGCTTTAGCTAGTTTGTAAACTAACCAACTCAACAACACAACCCTAACAGTGTTATTAGAAATTTTGGTTTTTATATTAACCAAATTGAATTGGATAGTATACAAACTATCCAGCTATTTTAGTTTCCCTAATAATTTCAAGTAAATTAGCCAAGATCCTTGGTTATTTTGTAAACTAGCCGCTAATTTAGTTGAAAATACATTTTCAATTAAAACAGCTGACAGTTTGGCTAGTTTGTAAACTATCCAGCTAGTTTATAAACTATCCAAGTTTGCACATTAGCCATAACATATATAATATATTATATTATCTTCAAATAAAGATTTTAGAGGGATGTCCCATATATATATACGAAAACACCCTCTTCATTTGGAATAAAATCAATAAAATATTTGCTTAATATCTCTACATGCTAAATTAAAATAATCCTGTCTGGATTAAATTATTAAAAAAATTTACTTAATATTAGAAAAAGACCTATAAATTATGTACTAACATTAATCAAATATAAGACTAATTCTATCCAATTTTTGATACGACTATCCAATATTTGATTGAATTAATAAAAGTCCGCTAAAATCAAGCTATTATCTTGACCAAATCTGTAATATAAGGAGCAAATTTAGCAAAATGCCAATTTTTAGTTTTTAAAGCGTCTTAGTTTGCAGTTGCTCTTCGCGTGTAGTGAGTTGTAAACGATCGTGTAAGTACGTGTCCGGTTTTAGTTTGTTTAATCCATCGTTATTATTGAGAATATTAAAGGTAAGTAACAAATAAACCATTTTTTATAGGTATGTTTCTACCCTCATTTTTACAGAGCATTTTGACTGCCAAGTGGACGTGATTTCTTTGGAATGCGAACGAAATAGGGACTGTTGTGCCCACCACGTGAGATATCTCCGGCCATCATCTTTGATATATTTGCCGCTGTTAAATTAAATTTTAAATGTTGTTTTTTAAGTTTTAAATTAAACGCAAATATTTTAAAACTTATACATTATATTAGTCAATTAAACATAAAAAGCAATTATTAAACCATTCTTATTTTTTGTATTTTACCTACTTATAAATTATTATTATAGGTATTAAGTTCTTTTTTTATGAAAGTTTGTAAACTGAAATAAATAAGTATTTATAGACACAAAATTTAGTATACTTTACCTACCCCACTATCACAGATTATTACGAAAATCAATATTCCAGTCAATAATCAAATATTGAATAAAATAATTACCACAACAAACAAGTTTTATTTAATTATTAGATTAAAATATTAAAAAATTTGATAAATTTAATATATTTTTTATCAACTATTTTGCACAAATCAATCAAATGATCTGATAAACTTTATCCTAAATATTCTTAATTTTGCCAAATTTTTGATAACTACTACTTAAAAAATAGATTAAACTGACCTAAAAAGAGCTTAATTGAATCTAAAAATTGGTAAATTAAAGAAAATAATATTTAAATTCTAGAATATCGTAGACCAATTTAATTTAATTTTTACTATTATTATTCCAAATTTTGTTGTGAATTATAAAACTAATTTGCTGCTATTTATCACGGTTTGATACATTTAAGCATAGCAAGTAGTTTAATCGAATGAATTATTGATATTAGTCTAATTTTGGATTGGCGCTATATTGATCAAAAATTTGATTGTAATACTACCTTAGCGGATTAATCGTATTCAAAATTTCTTTCCGTGTAGGTGAAATTATTATTGGCATATTTTCAATAAAATCTTCATTGTTATTATCAAAATCACTAGAAATTGTTAAGGTGGAACTACAAGAATTATTTTTTGGTCTCCAAACTTCATCTTTTTCTAATCGTATTAAAATTTCGTTTTGCATTAGTAACAAAATTTCGTCCTCGTGAATTCTTGTACCATCACTCTCTCTGACCAATGTGCAACCATTTTTTTTTATTTTAAATTAGCTGAAAATACGAAGAAAATTAAAAATACAATATAACCCACTTACGAATTATTAGTTTTACCACTCATAATTAATGCCTCAAGTATATTTGTTTCGGTTTTTACCAAAACAAATTCTTTTATTTGCCTTTGGCAATCCCATATTATAAAAAGCTGCATATTACCCTAGAATATTAAATACAAATAGACAGATATTGTTATTACAATTTTATATTAAGCTGTATATATCTATATAAATAGTACGCAGCTTAATAGCACAAAACAAATTATTAAAAAAAAAACAAGATTTACAGGCTAATTACTGAACACAAAGTTTATAACATGGTGTGAAGTCAATTTATAATTATTTTTAAAAAACAGTTATTAAAAAAACGAATAAGTCGACTTATTCGTTTTTTCTGTATCTCAAAAAAGCGAAACATCGAAATTCACATAACGCCGACTTATTGCCAATTATAAAATTAAAAATGTTAAATGCATAATTTGTAATTAAGGTAATGTAATATATAAAAATTAATAATTAAACAATAATATTCATTTATAAACAATTAACAAAATACAAATACAAATATAATTTAAGGAAAAAATCCTTAATTGAAATTTCGAAAACATAAAAAAGTTGTTTAAGCAGTAAGTCGATGATATATTAGTAGATAAATATTTATAATAAATGATAATTAGGGCTTTGGTTAAAAGTCTTTTGTTTTAAAAAATTTTAAATACAAAAATTACATCCTTTAAAATAGAAGTCTCTTTAATTACAAATACAAATTATTATGAATAATACCTATGCTAAGTCTAATAATAATAAATTGAACAGTAAATTATTGTTTTTTTAAATGATTTTTTTTAGTTAATATAAAATTTCATCTTTTATTCATTTAAAAAAATTGCAGAGGAGTGGATTTAAAATAGTATAGTTCATTTTTATTTATCTCTACATGAAGCAGTTATGGAACGCCGTTGTATTTTTTAGTCTACTATTTTAAATGTTAGTTTAAAATGTAATTCCACGTCATGATAACATCGAAATACCGAGTAAAAAATATTTCGGCGTTCCAGCTATGGAACGCCGAAATATTTTTTACTTTGATTGATATTTTTAATTCCTTAAATTAAAAATGTTATCTAGTCTTGAAAATAAGGATTTATAAAGACCAGTTAATACGTTTTATTTAGTTAGAATTAAAATTATCATGGTAACCCTGGTAGAAAATAACGTTTGCATACATTCAGACAACGTTGCAAATTTGTATAATAATTAGTTATACTCATAACGTTGTCTTAGTGTATCATTTTAAGTGGAAAATACGTAGTTAAAACGTTGTCTTGGAAACGTTATTTTAATGTATGATTTTAAGTGGGAAATACGTAGTTAAAACGTTGTCTTGGAAACGTTGCAGAATTGTATTGCTGGAAACGTTGCAGCAACGTTCCAAATCCCACGTTTAGATACATAAAATTATTTCTAAGTCCCGACGAAAATCTTTCAATGAGGATTTTTTTTTTAAATTTTTATACTTTATTATACATTATTTATAAAAGTAAAATAAAACTCTTCAATTCATTTTCAAAGTCATAATATCAAAAATATGAGCGAAATACACAAAACCCACTTTCAAACAACGTTGCAGAATTGTATTGCTGGAAACGTTGCAACAACGTTCCAAAACCCACGTTTGGCTACATAAAATTTTTTCAAAGTCCCGACGAAAATTTTTTTACTGAGGATTTTTTTTCAATTTTTTTTTATTATACATTACTTATAAAAGTAAAATAAAACCCTTCAACACATTTTCAAAGTCATAATATCAAAAATATGAGCGAAATACACAAAACCCACTTTCAAACAACGTTGCAGAATTGTATTGCTGGAAACGTTGCAACAACGTTCCAAAACCCACGTTTGGCTACATAAAAATTTTTCAAAGTCCCGACGTAAATTTTTTTACTGAGGATTTTTTTTTCAATTTTTTTTATTATACATTACTTATAAAAGTAAAATAAAACCCTTCAACACATTTTCAAAGTCATAATATCAAAAATATGAGCGAAATACACAAAACCCA